TCGGGGGGCGCTGGCCCCTGGAGGGCGCCCGGGCCGGGGCAGGTTCCGTGATGCGTCTCAGGGCGGGTGGCAGATTGACAGGAAAACGCTGAATAAAACAGTCGACAGCGGTTGCCTCCCATGGTCGCCCATCGCCCTCCGCGCTGGCCCGTTTCCAGCCACGGCCCTTCGGACCCCGTCCTTGCCCCAGCGCACCGGTCGGCCCCACCCCAGGGCCCTGGCCCTCTCCGTGCCCTTCTCGCCCCGAGGCTGTCCCCTCCTCCGAGGGGCCCTTGATTCTGAGGCTGGGTGGACCGCCCTTCGTTCTCCACACTCCGTTCCGCCCTTTTTCATGCGCCTTCACCCCGTGAAGTCCCCGTCCCACCTTTAACCACCCCCCACCACCTCGCAGGCCCGACGGCGAGGTCACCCCGCACGGGACAGCCGGCGCGGGGCCCACCCGAGCCCCACTGCCTGGCCACGGAGCCCTGGTCCACTTGGACGCGAGGTTTCGGTTCCCGCCGCGGGGTGGGTTGGTGCCTGTGGAAGCCACGCGGGCGGGGGACAGACAGGGCCGGGTGAGGGCAGGGCTCCGGGGTTAGGGTACCGGGGGACTGGGCGGTTCACAGGAGGTTATCGCATTTTAAACCCGTTCACTGAGGCGTTCCCGAGGTGGGCAGGGCCTTGGGGCAGGTGGAACCGTCCCAGAAGAACCAGATGAAGACGTTCCTAAGCCAAAGGGCACGGCCGCCCACGGATTCAGCGCATTCAGGGCGCATTTTCTGTCCAGGGATTTAGCAAGGTGGAAATTAAATAGCCGCCATCCTGACGAGCACCTGTCTTAACAAGTGTGGTTTCTTAGGTTGGGCCATTAACTCCCACGTAGGCCGGAGCTGCACCTGCATTCTCACCGTCCCAGGACTTTTATTTACCTGGGATTGGGGCCTCGTGGATGTTCAGGTAATCAAGGCTTTCAGAACAGTGCTGGCCTGTGCAGCAAATCCCCTAGTTAGTGGTGGAGTGTTTGTTTAGCAATGGAGTGCATGTACTTTACTGAGAATATTTTAACTCGCAAGTAACATTTTCAAGCAGAATGAAACAG